CTCTCTCTCTCTCTCTCTCTCTCTCTCTCTCTCTCTCTCTCTCTCTCTCTCTATCTTTCATAACAGACTTTGAGCGCACTTTTTTGGTTCCCTCAAAGTACATGGAGATGGAATTCACAGACGGAAGAGGGGCCGAGCTTTTACGATCGAGTGGTAACTCTTGGCGCGAGCTGCACGCGTAGCAAGCAAAAGAATGCTGAAGGGGTAGAAAAGGGTCGTGAGGTGGTGGAAGATACAGAGTCGTGAAACTGAAAATGAAAGTTTCGTATTCTCTAACTGAATAGAAATTTTGCATATAATCTAGCCTGTTGTCTTAATACATTTTATGAATGTTTCGAGTATCATTCTAGAAAATTGTTCTGGAATATTTATAAGGAGGTAAATCAAGTTCAACAATTCGTTTTGGTCTAATAAAGTTCACGTCTCTCTGTAGCCACATTTAGAAACCGGGACAACGACTAAAGTAGATAAAGACGAGAGAAACTGGACTTCGAAGTAGAGACGAGAGACAGAGAGAAAGACAGAGAATGCGTGTATACATCTGTGTATCGGAAAGCAGAGAGAAGACGAGGGGTGTAATGGACGGTGGATTAGTTCGGTAAAGAAGACAATATATTCGCCACAGTAGATGAACATGCACGATCTCGTTTTTTCCTATTTATTACATCTCGATGAGGTTTTTAAATGAATATGACACACGAATGAAAATTTGATACAAAGACGGATGTACACTGAGAGAAAAATTTACTGAATATTAATACATATTTTTTTCAATAATACCAACTTGACAGTTACAATTAAATCAATATTTACTCGATAAAAACAAATAATTAAATAGTTAAATCAAATTGACAGTTTTTGTAACCAAATAAATGTATGTTACATTTAGTAAATATTTGATTAGTACTATTCAAACAAATATATATTAGAATTTAATATATTTTTTTTTAGTGTATGTATCACAAGTAAGAATTTCAGAGAAGAAAATCTTTTTAAGCAACATTGATAATTAAAAAATGTACATAAAGAATTATACTTGCGTCGTGTTTCACGAATATTCCATGGCTATAACTTAACGTCTTGAATTTTTTTTATAAAGAATTATTCAACAAATCATTTGCCACAAGTTTAATTTACACTCCCTCTCTTTCTGAGATCTTCAAATCTTATATCAAAATCTTTACCGCGATAATTTCGTGTAATTTCACTATCCTTCTCTCTTTTCTTCGTTCATCAAAAACAATATTGACATTATGTCGCGCGAATCTAACTACAGCTAAAAGTTACATAGAGGATACATTGAAAATGACGTTTTGACGTCAACGAGAGCAATCGGTAAGAGAGCGTCAACTAGTGAAGAAGTTTTAGAAAGTATTTCTACATGAAAATATTGAAAGAACTCGATCGTAAGGAGTGGGTTACTGTAAGTAAGGTTACTCTCGGCAGGTAAAAATCGTTACAAGTAAAGCGCAAGAACGAACGAGAATCCTGCTTTCTGCGAGATCATTAGTCATGATCCTCGGAATACCGTACGATTACGGCAATTTCTTTGATAACGCGACAATTCTATCAAATTAGCAGGGAGAGCAGCAAACAGCAAAGCACTTGGGCACATGCAAAGAGACCCACATGCAAAGTGAATTCGACGCACACACACACACATACACGCGTGCATGCGCGCGCGTGTACGTGCGTATGCAATTTGCACCGTCGGACTTTCGGGTAAAGCAAAGTACGTTTATATGCATCTCGACGATACTTGAAAGTCGCGTCTGTCGTCATATACCGGGTAGCACGTCACGAATGATCCGCCGTGATTCAGTCATAATAATGATGTAGCATAATGCATTGCAACGCGTAATTGCAGTTGCAACTTGAAGGGACTTGGCGCAGTGGATCGCCGTCCTCTCATCCGCAACGCGCAGCTCCTGCCGACGATTGCGAATGAGCGAGACGTTTTATTGATATATAATATATGTATATATATATATATGTATATAGAAATGCAGAGCAAAGAGAGGATACGAGAATAAAAAGTAGTTAATAATAAATTGGAAATATATATATGTATATATATAGCTCGCCGGAAAAAGAGGCACTTACCGGATCTGGCGGGAGTCTGTAGTCTGCGGATATCTCACTGCTCGCGCTGCGCTCCTCGGTCGACCTTTCCCAGTCCATTTCTTTTTTCAAGGACTGCAACGGAAAGTGCACGCGGTTCATATCCGAGTAATAAATATACAATACAATAAATAAATGATATTCAGATCATGTGTCGTGCGGCAATATCGATGGTTAATCATCGAGTATCAAAATTATCGTTGGTTTTATCGTTGGTTTCCCCCCTTTTTACAAAATAATTACAACATTGATCATCAATTCGAGAGCATTAAACGTGAACAGAGATATCTCGTTATTGCGGGGTAAACAAACGATGAATGAGTTGATTCGAGTATAAAAGCTTCCATAATAACATTATTTGTATGTAGAAAAATTTAATCTTCGTGAATGTAGAAGAAAATCATTACAACGATAAAGTTTTATCGAATTCATGTCTATATTACAATATGATATATCAATATTTTTTTAAAACACATTTCATAATCCCCAAATAAATATTCAATAGATTTTTTCAGTCGGTTTAAATTTTAAGTTCAATTATATCGGCATAATAGTTGATTGGCATTTTATCGATACTCGAAATTAAACAAACTCTTCTAATACATCCGAGAGTAAGTAGGATTTAACATAGATGTACGGACGTATTAAAGTTTTTACGCAAATATATGTGTGTTATTTAAATTAATGTATAACCATTCAATAAATAGTCACGAACGATTCGATTACTTTCAACTTTTCAAGTTCCAATCTCTCTTCTTGCTATATCAAGAGTAAATATTACGTCAGCCATGCTTCCAGGATTACTTCCGAGTTAAACTTGAATCCTACTTGCTGCGGATTAGGATGAAATTTCCTTTCGAAGAGTAATCTTATTGCTACTTACTAGCGGAACTTGTTGAACCGGGGGTAAGCCCGAGGGGCCGGCGAGGGGCTCGGTACTGTGCGGGGACGGAAGCCGGCTCTGCGGCAGATTCAACGGCAGCACGCCGCCACCGGGCGCGCCGCCGGTGTTGTTGCTGAGGCTCATGTCGGATGGTCCGCTGTGCACCGAGATCGGGCTGAGAGAGCCGGCCCTCGTTTCTTCGAGGCTGCCCGCGTCTTCGGAATCCCTCCTGGGTCGGTCAAGGGCCAGCGGTCCCGGGCACGGGCTACCGGGCCCCGCGGGCGACGGCGGACAATCCGTCATGTCCACCGCCTCCGTGGTTTCGCTAGGGGTGCTCTGCACGATGCTGCTGGATTGCTGCTGTTGCTGCTGCTGCTGCTGTTGCTGCTGCTGCTGCTGCTGCTCGCATTCCTTCGCACCGGCCGACACTCCAGTGGTGACGTTCGACTCTCGTTCCCTCTCCTTGCCACTCGTCTCTTTTATACTCTCTCGTTCTCGTTCTCGTTCTCGTTCTCGTTCTCGATGATGCTCTCGCGACGTGTCGGAGGTGCTCGTATGTTGTTGCTGCTGCTGCTGTTGTTGCTGCTGCTGCTGTTGCTGCTGTTGTTGCTGTTGTTGCTGTTCTTCCCTGGACGCTACCGCTGCGTTGATGTTCGTCATGTCCGCTAGACCCTTAACCTTGAGGCTCTCCGCTGTCTTGAGGAGGGCCGATAGCTGGCAGTACTCGACGTTTACCTCGCCTTTGTACATGAAGTCGACGAGGGTACGTAGCTCGGCGAAACGTACGTCCTTTAGGATAACGATGGGGTGACGGTTCGGATGGTCGAGAAACAGGGCCTGGAAGTAACTGGAGCACGCGGAGAGGACTACCTTGTGTGCGCGTATCGACGGTCCCTCCGTGCACGCCAGTGTCACGTCCACCAGCGACTCCGACTCCAGCAGTTGACTGAACACACCCAGCAAGTTGCTCTGATGATTGTTCCACCTCAGGCAGTAATGCTCACTTCCCATGTCTGAACTGCACCCCGCAACCCTGCTATATAAGAAAGACTTGTACTCTCCGATGCTCACCAGTAGGATTTCTTAACAATGTATCGCGTTACGTGGCCCAGGTATCACGACTCTTCTAACTGCTTCACATGATCGAACGAGGCATATTCCGCGCAAGACAGTAAAATAATTGTCTCTATTTCTCTTTTCTTCCAAACGAAATTAATATTATAATTTTTCAAAGTTTTTAAATTTTGTTAATCTTGGTAATTATCAGAAGTCAATTATTACTTTTTTTTTAAATATATTTATATTTATTATTCTTTTTAAATATAGACTTTTCAAAGCCTATTTTCAATTATTTCATATTTTATTTTTATTTGTATTCTTATTTTTATCATATATTTTTCTTCTATTTTACTTTTCTGTATTTGCATTTCATTTTTTTAACTGTACGACTTTTTTAAAGAAATGTGTTAACTCTTACTTTGCCCCTTATTTATTGTCATTTACTTTAAAACATTATGCTAAATAAAAAATTGTAATAAAAAAATTAAGTTTTGTTATTTATCTGAAATTCTGTGAGGAATCTCTCAAATTAAACGTCTATTTTGATCGCAATAAAAATAATCATGTCTCAACACCTTTTTCTTTTCCGGAGGACAGATCATTTCGATTTTCCGTAGAGAATAATCGTCATGCGAAACATTTTACATTTAACGGACTCGATGAAAGGTGCGAGCGAGCGACGTGAATAATGCGATTCTTTAACGGGTAATCGCGGTGTATAATTTAAAGAACGTGTTTTGCAACATATTGACACACGTGTGTCGCACCAACACACTTTTGCATATATATAATACATAAGGACGCTCGTTATCGATGCATCCAAATACATCCGGAGATGTACGACCGATATCAGCTGACCGATAAGGGCTTATCTTTTATTATTCCTTCTCTCCCGCGTTCGACTTTATTTATTGCTGCTACCTAATGCGTGAAACACCGCGCACGCACGTGTCGCAAGAATATGTGCGCAGCCCGGGGAGCGATACACGCATACACATAATTATGTCGAAGCGTTATTCACGTAAACGTACATTTGCGTGATGTATCCGCGGATATATGCGCGATGGCGTGTACGTACCGCCGCACGATACTCGCGTGATTTCGTTTGGCTCTCGCGATATTACGGCGATGCATGACAGAATCTCCGTCATATATACGGTGCTCCGAATGCTCGGATTATTTCAAGAAAATTCTAATTGTGAGCCTTAAACTTTAACTTCTTCATTGAAATCTTATCGAAGCAGATCCAATCCTGGTTTATGTGTTTCAAACAATTAAGAAGATACAAAGCTTGATATGAATTAATTGTTCGACATAATGAAATTTCAGGCAATGAAACTTTTTTAGTAACCGTGTGTTTAAATCTAAAAAGTCGATTCATTTCTTTAGAATATTATTATTTCAGATTTGAGCTTTTAAAAGGGGAAAATTATACTGATTTATTTATTATATAACGAATGAGAAGGCTGAATGTTCTGGAATGGTGGAAAATCGACAACTGGGAGATCAAGCGGATATCTCGATTCTTTATACTTTGACACCGCTTTATATCGTTCGGCCAATTACGTTGCAGTCTGCGCGCGAGGTTACTGTATCGCGAATTGAAGGGAAGCGATGTCGAAGCGCGAATAATCAGTTTTCGAGCGTTTTAAAACAGAGGCTCGCGCACAGTGCGCATTCAGGCTTCAGATAAATTGCACCTGTCAATGCACCGGGACGGTTATAGGAATTACCTGTACTCTCGCCAGCTAAATATAGCGTCGGCACGGTCGTTACGCATTGATTCCATCGTTTTACGGCTATAACGTCGGTTGTTACCGGAACCTTCAAAACTTTTTTTTCGCCGGAAACGCTAGAGGTCCGTTAAGCGATAAACTCTATTTGCCGACTTGCATCAAGTCATTTTCATTAAAGATGTAACGACGGTCTTGTCAGGAAATATCGATTGATATGTTTACGAGCTTAACGCTTTCTATTCATATTTCATACCAGCCCCGTGAGATGAATTTATTTGCGACGAGTTTGAAATAACATCCTCGATGCTTATAAATTGCAAAATCCATAATTACTATTTATAATATAAATCTGTAATAATAATTTAATGTAAATATACAGGAATATAGAATGAATATATAACACATTATGTAATAACAATTTATGTAATTTATAGTAATGCAAATAATAATAACAACGTTAAACGTATGGGAATAATATTCGCAATTTCTGTTTGGAATGAAGTATTATTATCAAGATTATGTGTATATTATGAAAACAAGGGAACAATGTTAAATCATTTCTTTTTTTTTTCTTTTTTTCTTTTGAGAAAAAAGCCGAGCCTAAGCCTGCAGTTAACACACTTTCCTGTAATAATCACGCGTCATGCGGTTACATTCGATACAGCTGTTCTCGAGCGTGTAAATGCCGAGCATAAAACACACATCGATCACAGGATATATTATCGCATTAAATATATATATATAAAAAAAGAAAAGAAAACAAACTTTATATCACTCGCGCGTGCAGGCAGTTTATTCATTTGCGAATACAGAAATCGGCTGATTTAATTCAGTGAAGGCGCACACCACGAAACGTTGTTGCAGCTTCCCGCTCTTTTTCCGCGCGATAAACACCGCAGTCTGGCGGGTTCTCCCTCGCCGCGCTTTACAAACTTTACTCACAAGTACCGGTTACAGCGAAATCGCTTAATAGCGAAAGTTAAGAACCCAAAGTGGATGTACATATCTATGGACGCGCTCGCGGAGTGAACGGAATGCAACCGTGGCGCATAATCCGAAGTACGTCGCGTCTCAGCTGTTTATTTTTATTTAACCCTTTATGGACCGGAGATTCCATTTGGGGTCACCGTCTTTTATTTTATAAACTGCTCGCTCCCGATTTTTATGAGGCTTGGTCTATGGAATAATTTGATAACGCTTTATTCAAATTAGGATGATAAATTCGATATGGCGGACATTTCAAAAAAATAATTTGATTATCATAAAACTTGGTTTTAGAGAGTTTTTAACTGTGAAGTATATATATATATATAAAACATCAAATTTCCAGTTTCGCTTTATTTGAAGCTCGTCAGTGTTACAGAAATAGTTAGTACAGCTTTCCAAACTGACTTTCCAACTATGATTATGAGCTTTCTGACACTAGCTCCTCCTTCAGAGGTTACTACTTTTGAAATTCGATATTTTCAAGCTAATTCAAACTCAGAGTGTCAAGAATCTCTTGAAACCGAGTTTCATGTGATAATCAAACTATTTTTTAGAAATTTAAATTTTAGCATTTTGAGATCAGAATCGAATTCAGTTACTCAAAAAACCCTTAGAAAGCAAGATCTATAAATTATTTTGTTACAAAGCTACGGTCCTTAAAGGATTAAAATCCATCTCTCTGCTATTTATCATTTATTTACATCCTTATTTATTGTCATTATTTCTATTATTATTCTGCTTCATTCCATTAGTTTCACTATATGCAACTAATTTAAAGTTATCAGATTTTTTTTTTTTTTTACTGAATTCGGAGTCAGATCTTTACTTTTTTTAAATAAAAGTAATTCATGTGTAAAACTAATGTTATTTCGTATATTGCTTTATTCTACTTGATAAGCTATACTATTGTATAAATAAACCGAAATTTACTACTAACTCTCCGTCTGCAATCATATTTTTAATCCCTCCATCTGTCTGGATTTTTTTTTGTTTAACCCAAGATTTTTACTGTTCTGTAGGCTTTGAAAAAAATATTGAAAAATTCAAAATTATTTTTCAACATCTTTAGTTTTTGAACTTAAATATTAAAACCATTATTTAATAAAAATTGAACAAAAATGAGGAAGCATTTGAAAGTAAAATTTCACTTGTACCAAAAAAGACCCAGATTAAAAGGAAGGTAAAAATGTGTTTTCTATTTTTTTACATTAGCATTTACTATAGCACAAATAAAAATCTAAAGATTGTTCTCAGAGAATAAGGACTGGTAATCTTATTACCAGTTATATAGAGTTGGAAAATAATCTTTTATTCAACTCTTGATATTTGTAGTCGTACCTGTATGAAAACCTTGATTAAACTTCGTGCGGTACTATTAAAACTTTCAGTATATATATACAACAAAATATTTCAATCTATTTATCTTCTAACATATCACTTTTGTATATATACATTTGAGAAGCATGTGATTGATCGGAAGTAATTGACAGATACAAATCGCGAGACACTTTAGCGAAACAATTTGACGGCTTGCTGCAAAAAAATCCTCTTCATCTGGTAACCTTTTTATATTTATAATTACACATTATCAATGTAAAAATCAAAATCAAGATATACAGATACACGATGTTTATCTGTCAGACACTCGGCGCCCTGCCAGTGGCAACCGTTTCGTCACCGATGTCTCGACATTCATATCGGACGACTATTGAAAGTTTCTTGTGTTGTTGAAGAATCTAAATACTTTATTACGTTTTTTGTTCAAGTCGAAACATTTTTTTAACAACTAGTTTATAAGCGCGTTTTAAAATAATTAAAAAAAGAAAAGTAAATTTATATATTACATTATTTAAAGTGAAGTTATTAAAGATTATTTTCAGTTTTAGAAAGAGAGTTTTAGATAAACTGTACAGAAAGATACACAAAGTGTCACAAGTCATTCGTATGTGATATTTTTCTATATCTGCAAATTTCATTAAAAAATTCACTGATAACCATGCGACCGACATTCTATTAAATTATGACGTAGACAGATTAGAACATTTCTCGACTTTCTCCGGTTCCCAGGCGATTTCTAGATTTTTAACAATTCTGCTATAGGCGTGATTGTTTCCTTTCTGTGCTGCGTGTACTTAATTTTCCTGCGTGATTTTTCTGCGGAGGTTCGCGGCAGCCGCGGCAGCGCGTATTGTTACGTAAGTCAATACGGCCCACACGCCGCCGTTATTTATGTCATTTCAGAGGTTTTCTTTGG